CACAGCCCCCACCGCCCCCGCGGGAGGGTAAGCGGGCTGCGGGCCTCGCCGGGGCCTGAGGGCTCTGTCGTCTGACTCCTCTCTGCCCCCGCCGCCATTTCCCCGCCCAGGTGCCGTGAAACCCCAGGTCAGTTGCAGCGGTGAACTGGAACAGAAAACCACCCTGGGGGAGCTGGTCATCTACATCGTTTTCCTGACAGACCTCTGTTTACGTAAGTCATCGACTGACTGAGGCATCTTCAACTGTTTACAGATAATTAATGTGTAAGCTGTGCCTCTTTCAGTATTTACTCCTTACTCCACCTGTCATCCACCCAAAAGTATCACTTCAGTCAAAATTGCTCTGACTGCCTTTTCCTAGTGGTATGACTTAATGACAACTGAAATGGCAAAGCAAGGTTAGAAGCTGTTGTCATCCTCTAATTTCAGCCTGCGAGCATCTCCTCTTTGCCCCTTCTTTCCAGTGACGTTTGGCATGGTGAGCACGGACATGTACTACCTGAACAAGGTCATGTCCCATCTCTTCCTGGAGCCGCCCTCCTCTGAGGATGACAGCAGTGGTTTCAAGAGCATTGGGAGCAGAGAAGATTTCTGGAGGGTAAGGCTTTCATTACAAATATGTTTTCTTGGAGAGCAAACAAGGGAAGAAGCTCCTGCTGTTAATTCGGAGCAATGCAGTCTCATGGTTCTCCTAAAAACCATGTACTAGATGTGCTTTCAGCTGAAGAAAGGCAAGTAACTTCTTAACATGCATTTGGAGAAATTCTGGGTGCAAACAATAATACTGATACTTCTGAATAATCCGTCGAGGAAAACAAGAGGCCAATTAATTGCTGCATCATATTTTCAATATTAGGCTTGGTCTGAAAAGAGCTTCAATAAAACCAGAAAGATTTTGGGTTTACCATTCTTTCGAATTTCAGGTGTTAAAAAAAAATTATGATTTCCACTGGAGCAGCCAGGAAAACATGCCATCTTGGTTCATCTGGTTTGCTGTTACATTACCTCATATTTCAGTGACGGTTGCAAAGCACTTATCTCTGTTTTCACTACTAGGTGGAGGACTTCCCAAAATTACCAGCATTGCCCAACTGACAGCAGAAGGCAAAGTTTCTCACCCTACTCTTCCTTAAAAATGGAAATTCCTGGTTATAACAATTCATTTGGAAGAATTGTACTCCCTCTTATCATTGTTGCTAGTCCATAAAATAGTGAGCCCTTGCTATACAACATGTGTGCTCATGTACTAGAAATGGTTGTAATCGATGTTCAGGTGGTCCCAAACCGTGGGGGCATATTGTTTTGCACTTGGAATAATGTTCTCCCCAAGTTTAATGCTCTTTATCTGCACCTAAGAAACACCCAGAGAAAGAGGGAATTTTTTTTCCCCGACCTTCAAAAAGAAATACTTCTTCATTTAGATTCAGATGACTAAAAATCTAGTCAGAAATATATCCCAAACCAGATATTCAGAGATTAAGATAACCAGCAAATTTTGTTAAAACAACATACAATGTTCATGTTTAAACATATTTGTTTAGAATTCAGCAGAATTTTTCAATGAAACCCCAAACAAACGTATGTTCTAGTATTGCTCTGAATAATCCCATTACATATCTCTGATAGAATTGCATAGGGAATAGAATTGACTCATAGCAAAAAGATGTAAATATATCGTATTTATAAGACAGTACATAGGCGGCAGTTGTTTGTATTCTGACTCTGTAGCTATAAGTAACCTGAGAACCCTGTAGAGATTTGTATGCTAAGAAGGGGGGTAATAGTGGTATTTAAATCTTCTTTTGAAACTTTAACCTCACTTGTACATATAGTTTGCAGAGGGGCCCCTATTGGATGGAATCTACTGGGACAAGTGGTATAACAACATGACGTTAACCCTCCAGAACAACAGCCATATTTACTATGAGAATTTGCTCTTAGGAGTAGCCCAGGTTCGCCAGCTGAAAGTACGCAACAACACTTGCTCCATCTACCCATATTTCCGTACTTTTTTAGAAGACTGTTACAGCGAATATCATTATCGAGCTGAAGACAGGTCTGACTTTGGTCTAAGGAACGAATCTGAGTAAGTTGTCCTTCTTCAGCACAGAAATGTTTTTGAAATCCTAACCAAATCCTTAATGCCAGTATTCTTTGGTTAGTAACAACTGTGCATGCCATTAGCTGAGTTTTTCTCTTGTTTACATTGAGAAAAACCATGGATTTGTTTTTGTACCAACATTATAGATGGGAATTTGGCATAGGAAATCTATAGCAGAGAGTCAGGAAGAAGTGGAAATGGTGAGCCCAGTTGAGCAGAAGCACATGTTAGTGGGCCTATCTCCACTCACATCTCTGGAGAAATTCTCAATTATGAGGCCTGAATTTAAGTCACATGTTTATAAACTGAAATCATGCTCAAATGCTCTGGAAACAGCCAAAAGGCCTGCTTCACAGACTTCATTTAGCATTGATTTAACGCAATGAAAGAACATGTGAACATGCCACAGTAACAATGAACTATGTAAACCAGAGATATTCTATTTACCTGTAAAGGTTTTAAGGTAATAAACTGTCTGGCCCACATTGGGCGAAATCCAGATTCATAAGCAATTGCTGTTTCGTGAATGTATCAAGTAGCTAAATAAAAGAAATGGGAATATCTCAAGACCGTATGTCTCACGCGTACTTCATGTAAAGAAAAGTGTTATTTAAAGGTCTGGCTTAAATAGTCAGTCATAGATGCAGAAGGACACAACAACTAACAAGGATTGTATAAAATAAAAGTTAAAGCTTACTTCAGTCCAGGTTCCGTAAGCTGAGCTGCTTTGTTTTCCCATTTCTGATAGATGGAAATACACCTCAGCCTCCTCATTATCCCCATGGTACTGGGGATCCATGGGCTTGTACAGCAGCGGAGGATATACATTCACCTTACCTAAATCGAAGCAGGAGAGCATGGAGAAGTTGGTGTTTCTCAGGCAGAACAGCTGGCTCACTAGAGGAACCAGAGTTGTATTTATCGATTTCTCAACATACAATGCTAACATAAACCTTTTCTGTATCATAAGGTGAGTTCTTACCTTTACTACATGTGAAGTCCAATTTACTGAGACACAATGCTTCCATAAAGACACAAGACAAAAGGCTGGTCACCTCAGGCATGTGCAGCCACGTTTCTCAGGTAGCAGCTGGCAAGACAGTAATTCATTAAAAATGCAGAAATTCAGTTAGTGCAGGGAGCAGACCCAGATCCTTCCTTTCCATTTTTTTGTAATAGTTGGTGTCTGGTCTGTACAGCTGGTTCCTGCTGTCAGCTGGAATAGATTTCATAGGCTTTTGCAAGGTCAAAGACTGGACTGTTACTCCTGTTGTCAGCTAGTGGAGGGAAAAGACTCAGGGTAGGGTGAACGTTTGCTCTTCTGAGACAGTTTCTTTAAAGACCTTTAACCAAACACCACAGCTTGGGCATCCCAAGGGCTTCTCATTTTTCCCTCAACCTTCCCTACCACATAATACTCTTTTAATGGAGGACGTAGCATAACCCTTACAAGATCATCTTACAGATGTAGGAGTTCCAGTATGATATTATTAATGTAGTAATAATTAACAGTAGAAAATTAAGGGCTGAGATGATCTAAAGGGATGGTAACTAACAGTTACCAATTTTTTTCAGGTTGGTGGTAGAGTTCCCTGCTACCGGGGGTGCTCTCACCTCCTCACATATCTACTCTGTGAAGCTCCTCAGATACGTCTCATATTATGATTACTTCCTGGCTTCTTGTGAAATCATCTTTTGCCTCTTTATCATTACATTCATAATCCAGGAAGCTATAAAAATAGTAAAACTGAAAAAGGAATATTTCAGAAGTGCCTGGAACTGGCTGGATTTGCTGCTGCTGGTGGTGAGCTACCCCTTGACTTTCACCTCTGTGCTTGCCAGCCTAGGCTAGCACTGGATAGACAGCCAGAACAGCCCAAATCTACGTCTAGTTAGAGTCAGTCACCCTCTGCTCTACACTGAAGAGGTTACATGGCCCACCATGGTTTGGCACGCTTGAACTCTTTTCTAGCCTTGCTGTCAACTTGCTGTGCCTCCACGTCCTTTCTACTCATTATCCACCTTGTTTATTTTAGCTTCAATCTTTGCAGAGCAGGGAAGCACTAGTGCATAGCAGAGCTAACACAGTAAAATTAAAATGTATGCAGTGTGCTACATAGCACAAGCCCAGAATTATCACAGTACAATTACAAATGATTTGGCCAATGAAGTCTCATATATATGACAAAACATCTAAAAAGCTCAGGTTCTTCAAATCTAACCAAAGGCCTTTTGAAATTACTAGTCTTCCCTGGGCAAAGTGACAAGTCTGAAGAGAGGGGGTGTAGCTGGACTTCAATTTGACTTGCTTCTGCTTTCCTTCAGGTATCCACCCTTGCCATTGCCTTCAACATCTACTGTGCTGTAAAGGTGTCCCTGCTAATGGAAGAGCTGCTGTCTGATCCCCATGTATATCCAGACTTCTATTTCCTTGCATTCTGGCAAGTCCTTTACAACAATGTGATTGCTGTATGCATCTTCTTTGCTTGGATAAAGGTATTGGTTCTTATCCCCTTTCTTTGTACTCAAGAATCATAGTGTTTCTAAGCATAGCCTAAATGTTCACTTGTAACTTTTCATGGGTGAATTGCAAAGGTGGGCCTAAAACAGAGAATTTTGTTTATAAGATTCCACAAGAGTTTACAATTACCTCCTTCTCATAAATGTGGGTTACACAAATTCTAAGCGCATCTAAAAAAAAAAAAACAGTTCTGCACATGGGCAGCTGTCTCCATTGGAGCAGCTGGGAAATTACCGTGGCCAAACAGCCTTCTCAAACTCAGTCTTTTCCTAGACCCGGTATTATCCAGGACACAGCCTGACCTACACAGATGGCATGGCTGTAATAGGTGAAGCTATTCATAGCTTTTGTAGCCAAAACCTCTGAAAACAGTAGCTACTTTTTAACTGCAGAGGAAAGCAGAATGTGTCTGAACTTGATTCAAAAGTGGCTTTGTGCCAGGACACCTTTAATTTCATTCTTACTTGCAAATAGATTTGCTGATCTCTGGACAGAGTAGCAAACTTCTCTAAGATTAGGTGCTACTTTTGTTCCTAACCACGTGCTGTGGGGCCAAACCAGTCCTGCATGTTTGCATGGCACTGCCCCTAATCTGCTAAACTCTGTTGGCCCTGACTGGGGTCTGCACCCCTTCCCCTGTACCCAGCAGACATCAGTGACTTTGGTTTGGGTGGCCTCAGCGTTCCCAGAGTCTGGATGAAACTTCCCAAAGCTTTGCCTGATCCCAGGCCACTTACAGGCCCTCTCTCCCTTCAAGTATTTGTAAAACACCCAGCACAAAGCGTCTGCAAAACAGGCAGGAAGGAGCTCACATCTGCCAGAAGAGATCGCACCTTACAGTCATGCCCCAAATACCTGAACGTAAGCTATCATGAAAGGTCACGTCCTTTTAAAATAAACAGGTTTTTGGCCTTCCTCCACCTCCCAGGCCAAGGCTGCAGGAAGAAGGTGTTTGGGAGTGCTGGCTGTAAACCCATTCTGTGGACAGTCTTCCTTGTTACATCCATTCTGTACTCCAGCTGCACATTCCCCCTGCATCATCCTCCCCTCAGACTGATGATTGTTAATTTAGTAGCACAACTGTGTTTATAATTAATGACTCTCATTGAACAAGGCTTTTGTTCAGGCCTTGTTTCAGACCCAAAGTAAGAGCGAGCTCCTTACCAACCCAGCCTGTCAGGGAATCCTCAGATACAGGAGGGTGGAATGGCTTGTAATCTCCTTGACCAGGGGTCCATATCTGCTGGAGCTGATTACACCTACCAGTACCCAGCAAAGACCTGTCTACACGCTATTAACTTCAGTACATAAGCATATTTGCCCTGCAGAATATTCATCTCCAGAAACACACCCAATCCTAGTTCTCCTTACAGATAGATACATGCAACTTATTTCTAGGTATGATTTAACCTGTAAATTATGATTACAGATAACATTCCAGAAATTGTGTTAGGAAGTTGCAATATATTGATTCCCCAATAACAATATGTTCTGTTCTCTTGCAGATACTTAAATATGTAAGCTTTAACAAAACAGTGACACAGCTGTCTTCCACTTTATCTCGCTGTGCCCAAGACATCATTGGATTTGCCATCGTGTTCTTCATCATTTTCTTTGCCTATGCCCAGTTAGGATATCTGGTCTTCGGGGCACAGGTTGAAGAGTTTTCCACTTTCCAAAACTGCATGTATGCTACTCTCTCAACTTTTTGGTACAAAACCCCCAGTTGGTGCAGGTGCAAACCAGTTTCTGCTAAGCAGAACTTAAGAGTACAGGTCTCCAACACTTAAGGTTATTTCTTAGAGTAAAACGAATCTTGTTGGCCCTAAAATCCATTTCCCAAAGCCTTCATGTGTACAAAAAAGACCATATGGACATTAAACAGGTCAGGGAAGCATAAGAAGGGGAACCTCAGGAGTAGTGCACCCAACGGAGCTCTTCATCCCCACAGCTCTCAACACAACTTTGCCATGTGTAACCAGGCCCCTGGGCGATCAGGCGGGCCTGGCAGTAGGCTCTTCTCTCTTGCCTCTTTCAAAAGCAAGAATGTGAAAACTACCCAGCAGACATGCCACTGGGTACATGATACAGTCCCCAGCATGAAAACCGCAGAACAACTTCCTGAGAGACCTAAGTGGCTGAGAGCACAGTCTGAGCACGTTTGCAAAGAGGAATTACTGCTCTTTTAAGAAAATGTCCCACTGCATAGCCAAGAGTCCCCAGATCCCATCGGCTAGCTCTGTTATTTTCTTCCCCAGATTTGTTTTCAGCCACTCACTGTAGCAACATCAGATCAATTCCAGGTGCCAGCTGGAAGTGGGTTTGATGGTCCTTGCACCTTGTAGCAACCTTCACCTGTCACCCGCACTGTGTGTTGTTTTTTAGTCCATGGTAATGTTTCTTACAACTTGAGAGAGGTATCTTTAGGGTACCAGATTGTTTGAAAGCAGCTTTTCATGTAAAATTAAGGCACTTCTAAACCAGAAAAATAGCTCATTTTGGATCCACTTGGATGTGAGATAGTTCCAAGATGCTGCAATACAGAGAAATTCCTTATAGTGGGACATAGGGACCTATATTGTTACCTTCTGTACTAACAGAATTTACAGGATCATGAAGCTAGAGCAGAAGGGGAATAATTTAAAAAATTAATTTTAAAAATAATTA